CTTAAACAAGCAGGGGAAAACGAACAGGCTCTTAGGTTTAGGCTTAGTAGTAATTCTGTAAAGCCTAAGTACTGTCGGTTTGGACTGAACTACAAATCAGTTTCAGCCCATACTGATATGAACTGATTTTCGAATTTCCATATTTTCCCATCGATAACGCACGCGTTATCTACACAAAAGGGTCCAGTCAACGTAAAAAAACAACAGTGCGCATTATGCAGTGAAAAACAAAAAAAAATTTGGTCAACACTCGAGGATGAACGAATACACAGATTGTTTCTTTTCATAAATCTGAATGCCCGTGATGAGTAACCTTCAAAATTTTCTCTTTTATTTGTCCTCTTCTGCAACAAAATACTGATTGTTGACACCTTATGTCCATTCGACCTCTCTAAGAGATTTCCCACGCGAGAAGTGTTTTTTTCGAGTTATGGCAAATAAGCATCTTCTGTACCTCATTGCACGTTCCTTCTGAACATTTTAGAAATGCTTCTTCTTTCCTCCATTCTCGCACACTGGACTCTCCAGCTTTAGATTTTCTATCTGTCTGACGATTCCTTTTTCTTTCGCGAAATTAACGGCTTCTAGCATTGACATTGCTGTTTAAAATTTTCTCCGCACAGTATTTTTTCTCCGAGGGTAATTTTTTCGGGAGCAGCTTTCAGTGTTAAAAACTAAACATTTGCAAAATACACGTGTTCATAGTCAAACAGCAATATGGTCACTATTGTTAATTCTTCTGTTCGTTTATTTTAGATACAGCCACAGCCAGACATATTCATTATTCATTTGTCAGAAAATTGCCTATCTTCAGGCAATAAATAGACTGTACGCTATCTGTACATTTTCATGAGGATTAAATATTACAAGGTGCAGGGTATCTGCTAGGTGCGCGTTATCTATACATTTTAACGAGCATAATGAAGTACAAGATGCGCAGTATAAATAAAGTGCGATGGAAAAATACGGTGTTTATACTGTTTACCTGTATCGACTAGTACATACTGAGGATTGTGACTCTGACGGTAACATAAAGTATTCATATATACTTGATTCATTATTTCACTATTTGTTGGCTTGTCTTATGAATGAACTAGTCCTGAAATTAACTTGAGAATTTTGCAGCTACTGGTTGAATAACTTTTTGAGAAACAAGCGTGTATGGCTTCACACTCCGCCTTTAGCCCTTTTAGACTTTAATGTTCCACACAATGATAAATTTTGTGGTTCATTCCATATTGAGTGCGCTAGCAGCCTTGCAATAGCGTTGCCGACAACAAGTCAAACGCTTCAGTGTCAGTGGACTGTTAACGCATCTTCACTGAAGTTATGAACTGCTAGAAAAAGTATTGTATGTAAACAACGTTTATATGACGAAGTGGATAAATCGTATATTTTTTGCCAAAGAGAAATCGGTAAGTCACGTAATTGAATAGAACTGCTGAACCTACGCGTATAAAAAGCATATGTACCTAATTCAGGTAAAATCAAAAAGTTTTTCTTGGTTTGACGACAGTGAAATAGCCGCATTTTGTTGAAGAATGACAATCCTAAGAAGGGGTAAATTTGGCTGAAAATTAGTTTTTTACGGTAATCATTTAAAAACGTTTTATGCGTCGAGTTCATTTTTAGCTGCGAAGCTTGATTTGTAAGTTTACCTTTTAGGCAGTTGAAAATGACCCTGTTTGCAAACGATAGCCGTAAGCAGCATCTGATTGAATTCCGCGCTGGAAAAATGTTCATGCGTGGAACCACTGTTTATGCGGACAAACGTAAGGGGTTGGTATACATTCATCAGTCGAACGATTCCCTCATGCATTTCTGTTGGAAAGACCGCTCTACCGGAACCGTTGAAGACGTAAGATTTGTTCTGCTTTGCCACTGCGTTGTTTACATGTATGTCGTGCACGGTTGCCACTTTTGCACTATTCTGTAAATGTTTGCTTATGATCTTGCTGTCTTAGATTTTCCTGTCGTCTGTAGAATGTAAATTATTCCTTTAGACTAAAATTGAAACTAGATCTGAGAATCGTCCATTTTTTCCATGTCTCAGACACTTTGCGCCAGCCGATTCAAATTCTTGAAACACCTGTACAAAGTCGGACTTGCGATTACTACACCAGCAACGCGCTGATTTTATCTGAAATGGCATTCCATCGAGATCGAACAGAATAAATTTGGTGGCGACGGTGTTGCGCAACTTTCAGATACAAGGGTATAAACAGGCGATTAACAGCATGTAAATTATAGCACACTGGAGCGATGTTTTGGGAGCTTTCTTGAGATATTAATGTAAACTGCGGCCTCGATCAGAAACATCGAGGTTTATGATCAGAGTGGCCTTCTATACAGAATAGTCCTGATAATCTCGAAGACTTTTATCTATTTCTAATTGCCCCTGTCTCGTTGCTGACTGTTTCGGAGTTTATGTTAGATCGCCGCTTTAAACAAATATGTACCTTCTGTGTGGTTCCGTACTTTTGTCCTTTTCTTGACTCGATACGACTCTAGGTTTATTAGGGAGCCGCCTAAACAAGCGCTTCATAAATGTCATCTTTTCCCACATTCGGTCTGAATGGAACAAACGGTAAATCGATTTAATATGCATGCTGCCTCGAGTCGCTAGCCTTACGCATCTCGATGTCCGGAATACAGATATCCGCGAGAACCTTGGTGTACAGCCATTGTTTCTTCAGATTGAGAAGTCATAACTGCGATGGTTAATGCCTCCAGAAAGGAGGGCTGCGCAACTGTTTCTTGCCCAACCGGTCCACAGAAGGCCCAGGAGACGGTCAAGATTAACCTGGTGCAAATGTATGGAAGGAGTCTGTTCCAGACTCCAGCTATCTTCTGCCGAAGCTCAGACCCTCGCACAGGATCGGGAATA